CCCCCGCCGAGCGTCGGTTTGGCTCAATTCTCTTTCGCCTTCGCGTGTTTTCAGTATGTAAACATCAGACTCCTGGATGGGTGTGTGTTTGGACTCCATGAGGCCTGTAGGATCTAAGCATTAAAAAAAAAGGAACAAAAAATAACAAAAACAAAACAGAAAAGCCCCAAGACCCATGTTACAGTCCGTGCTTTGAAGTTCTTCTGTGCCAGTGATCGATGCAGCTGTGTTGTGAAGGCCTTGTTCTTGAAATGAACCAAACCAGGCTTTTTTTTTTTTCTGTTTTTTTTTTCTTGTTTTTTAATCCTTTCTTCCCTAGCTAAGTGTGCATCCAGCCTTGTCTGCTGCAATTCCTTCCCTCCCGCCCCCCCGTTCCCGTTCCCTAGGGAAACACAGGTGTCAATCCAGTGTTGCAGGTCATGTTGTCCTTCCCTGGCAGCCGTCGGTCGTTGAACGTGTGCATGTTGATCACGGCGTCCGTCTTCACCATGACGGGTGGCTGGGGCTTGTGTTTGACCCGTCGCTGGCAGGTGAGCGACAGGCGGATCTCATCGGCCATGGCGCTGCAGAAGGAGCGCTGGGGAGAGCAGGGACAAAAAGCACCGTTACTCCCGGCAAATCGTTCTGCTAACCTCTCCGTGGGCGGGAGGATGCTGCGACTGGGCTCTGCAGAGGGCAAGCACCAGGTTTAGGCTGCATTTAAGGCATCAGCTGTGCTTCAGTGATGCACGGGCGTCTGGTTGACCCCCTCTCTCCTTTGGGCAGAATTGTGCCTTTGACACACTAAGTCCTGCAGAAAGGCAGAGCTGCAGGCGGCGGTTGGAGTGCTGGTGCTTTGTGTGATCCCTGCTGGGGGTCTGGTAGGTTATGTGCTGGGAAACAGGGCTATCGGATCCTGCTGGGCTTGCTAGTGGGCAGTTTTCCTTCATCTATCTAGTCCATCACACGAGCAGCTTGCTTTGATTTCTGGTCATGCACGCAAGCACGCTTTCCACTTACTGCACCACGACACGCAAGGAAGAGGGAAAAACATAAAAGCGATCCTCTTGTTTCATGAGCACTAACAGCCACGGCGGGTGGGATGGGCCGTTTATGTAAGTGTTGTGAAAAGTTGATGAAATAGCATGAAGCTTCCTGGTGGACCCTGACCAGTTCTTTGAGGCTTTTTGAACAGGAACGGGGAGAAGAGATGGAGACTTCATGCGTGTACACATTACGTCTGGAATATGCAACGTGATTGCATGTGATAGTGGCGAGTGGACACAACAGCTCAGAAGGTCCCTCCCAGGGACCTCTGTCCATGTTGTCATGACTTACGTGTTGGCTCGCTCAAAACGATTCTACAAACATTTACTAGTCTAGTTGCTGCAGCAGCAGCACCCCCTGATCAGAGCAGACGTGATTTGCCCCCCGACCTGAGGCTGTCGGAGCGGGACGGAAGCAGTGAGCCTTAGGGAACGGCATGTCGCGGGCACACGGACCTCCAGGCAGCCTCTGCCCATCTCTCTGCCTGTCTCTGGGGTCAGCGTGCAAAATCCTCACCGGCTGGGCTAGACCGAGGAAATCAGTACCTGCTCGCGCTCCGCCGTTTTGCGCAGCTTGTAGATGAACTCCACCATGGCCACGAAGACGGAGAGCACCAAGCCTGCTGCCAGAACGATGAAAATCCCACCAATGTTCTGGATGCCCAGGGCGCTGGCCTCCTTGTTCTCATCCTCAGGGCAGCCATTCCCCCGCCACCACTTCTCCTTCATCACGTGGAGCTTGTCCTCCTCCTGGAGCTGGAGGATGGCGATGGTGATCTTGTCCCTGTATGGTGACCCTGGGGAGGGGCAAAGCCGTTACACACAGAGGGAAAG